TTGCCTTCCGACAATTCATTGCAGATGTACCTCAGAAAACTTTCACTTAATGTCTCATACTCTACATGAATATTAAACCAATACGAAGTACAACAACATATGTAGGACTTATTTCTACTGTCATTTACATCGTAAAAGTATCTCCTCTTCAACTTACCAATGACAATCTTGATGGTATCCTATATGCGTTCGTAAGCTTGCAAAAATACCACTGCGTTGATGTCCGCTTGTAAAAGCTGAAATCCAACAAATGCTTTGATCCATGCTACATCTCCGTGTTGAAAAAGCCCTTTCATCTCCGTTCATGATAACATCTTACCCTATTCTACGCAAATCTGTCACATCTACTCTCAAACAAGACGTCAACTTCAAACGAAAACGCGTTCTACGATGCGTCTACACTCCATCCCCATATCATTGGCGTTGACTGGTCCGAGGTCGATCTTGTTCGCCTGTTTTCGGCGTCTTGACGCCCGCGCAATGCGAGCTTGTACCTCTGCACTCGCCGAGATATGGCCACCTGTGTAGCCACCGAAACGATCTGAAGAAGTCGTTCCTTGAAGACTCCTTTCAGAGCCATCGTTCCTCCGTCCCTTCCTCCCACGGCATGTGTCGCAAGTTCATCGATGAACTCGTAACCCTCCTCTCCAAGGCGGCCAAAGCTTTCCACGGCTAAGGTGGTAAGTTTAAAGCTAGCTGCGTTTGTCAAAGGACACGTGTCCCGGACGAGCGTAGTGCTGACGCTTTCGCGCCTCGGATGCTTGGGCTGCGATTCCATCGCTGGTCGCGCTGCCGTTCCGCAAGTGTACCTGTGCTTACCCTATTCTACGCAAATCTGTCACATCTACTCTCAAAGCTTCTGTATTTATTTATGCTGTTTGGGTCATCTTTAGACTAATCTATTTTTCATTAGGTACTACAAATATATTCAGCCTCCGTAGCTCTATGAACCGAAAATATATATATCTGTTTCTTCAGCTTTATTTATTTTGGGCTAGAACCCTAACCCTAAGTTTGTTTAGCATCTGCCTTGTTATTTGAATTAGGTGCTGCTCCTTATCATATGTGGATAACAGACGTTGATGAAGGAGCACCTACTTTATTTAGTTGGTCAAGTTTTTGCTCTTGTGCCCAAAGTTGCTTTTTCGTGGTAGTCTTGCATATCGCTTTTTTTTTTTTTGGTTCTTTTCCCAATTCTTTGGGAAGATTTTTTCTTTTAATTTATTTGTGGTTTATCAACACTTTCTAGGGTGTATTTGTGGTTTGGGTGAGACTACGATAAAAAAGAGTTCTTGCTTGGGATTGCTTTTTTCTTAGGTCTTGAATGTACTGCTTTATTTTCTTTTGGTTCATCGGTGGTGCTATCGCTGTGGTGGTGTTGTTTGTACTTATGATGCAAGATAGATGTCAAAGCTATTTTTTTTTTTTTTTGCCTTCCAACAATTAATTACAGATGTACCTCAGAAAACTTTCACTTAATGTCTCATACTCTACATGAATATTAAACCAATACGAAGTACAACAACATATATATGCAGGACTTATTATTTCTACTGTCACTTACATCGTAATAACATCTCCTCTTCAACTTGAAATAAAACCAATGACAATCCTCATGGTATCCTATATGCGTTCGTAAGCTTGCTAAAATACTACTGCGTTGATGTCCTCTTGTAAAAGCTGAAATCCAACAAATAAATGCTTTGATCCATGCTACATCTCCGTGTTGGTTTTGAAAATCCTTGGTCACAAATAAAAAACGTTCCAAAACTGATTACTACCCAAATTATTTGCAAGTTGAAGCCTGATAAGAACCGACATCACAGTAGTAGTAGCACTTAGAACCCTAGAAAAACCACCAAGGATTTAATATCAGGTACTCATATCTTTGTGGTTGGTGGAAAAAATAGTCACCAAGAACAAAAGCTAGTTGAAAGCTGGCCTAAAAGGCCGAAAAGAAAAAATAAGATTTTGAGGAAATATATTTGACATCTATACTGCTGTAGGACATCAGCTAACTAAGTATCAAAAGAAGAGGCCTAACCCGACTTTACAAATTAATAAAAAAAAGATTAGGGCCAAACATATTAAAAAAAAATCAAGTCAACCACCTTACACTAAGACGACAGATGCACACCTCGTTAAGGGAGCAGCAAAAAAGAATATATGTTACTGTATTTTTACTTTTTTGAAAAAAAAAAAAATCTTTACAAGCCTTGTAGAGTAAATATGCTGAAATGACATTATGGGAAAGACAGCCCCATGCTTCGCACGGCACACCTATCCAACCAGCGAAAGGAAATAGCTACATGTTAAGGAGTGTGGCTGCTAGCATGAATAGGGTACATCTTATTCTTGATAGGATGCGGGTCGGTCAGGAGGTATACCCTTCTGACCCCTACCCCCTTAGAATTGTCTACTCTGTGTACCCCCCTGAGATGAAGGTGGATCCCCACTTCATCCCAGACCTTTGCTGATCGTCTCTCAGCAATAACAAGCAACTTTCCCATCTGAACGTGGTCTGGTCGTGGACAAGCGTGTCAACGACAGAACCTTCATCTATCTCTAGGAGCAAGCCACCGCCCACGGCATCACTCCTTGAAACTTGGCGTCAGCTGGCATTACACGGTAAGCGGGTGCTGGACGCGGCTTCCACACTGCCGTGTGTTGTTGCCACGCTTTTTCACAACCACCGGGTTGCTTGTTATTTGGTCTCACCACCCACGAGAATCTAGACTTAGCCTCTTCTCTGCTTCCTCTCCTCCTGTAGAGATGCTGGCTTTTGATGCTTTTGCGAAGCACCCGCGGGACTGGGACCTTGCAAAGGATACGCGCCTCGGAGGCCATCGCGATGTTTTGGGTGATTTCTCGTACGTTCGCCGTCCCTCGAAAGCTATTTTGTCTGCATCGATCGGCGGTCCATGAAGTGATTTCTGTGGCGGATACCCTCTGCATGGAGCGTCCTGAGATGCTGGCCTTGTGTAGTGGGACCCGAGATGACAGCATGCTTCCCACGTCTGCTACCACCTCTACTGCATTCATGCCGGCGTACCGGCCGATGTCCGCGGATTTTCCTGTTGTGCTGTCCGATTTGACTCCGCTTGCATCGACTTGGAACGCGATGTGTGCACACAAATTGGGTGTCAGCCGCCCCACCAGCCTTCCCTCCATTTTTCGAAATCACATGGCACTTTTTTTCGGGGAATCGTTCACCCTCAAAGCATTTGAATTGGAAACCTTTCAACAGCGCAAACCCACAGCGGTCTTTGCTCGCACTTCGGCACCAGTTGCGGAGGAACGCCGTGCTGCTCTGCGTGTCTTTTGGTCGGAAAACCTCGTGTCTCCATGCAACACGGGCCCTTTTGTGCTAGCTTCTACTGCTGTTTGTGCGTGGCATGGTGTGCTTTTGGACGCTTTTTCTGCTTGGTTGGATCCGCTTCAACCTCGTGTGCACCAAGCTTTTATCACTGGGCGTATGCTATCTTGTGGATATCTCCGCCTTTCGCATGGACCTCGGCTTGCTCTTCCCGAAGTTGCACCCGGCTTTACTGCTTCTGCTGCTCTTGGTGCTGCTGCCTCAACTGTGGTTGGTTATCCTACATCTACTGTTTCTGGCCCTGCTGCCCTTTCCAAAATCGATCGTAGCTACCCTCTCTCTGGCCCTGTTCTTGTTAACAAAGAGGACACCATGTCCAGCGGCAACGTGGAACTCCTGGGCGACAATGTGGAAATCCTCGACTACGAACCCGAGGGCGAGGCTCCCACCGCAGAGCAGTTTCCAGCGGCGGGTGCAGAAGACGAGAGCCCCCCCATGTCCATGGTGTTCACCGTCGATGATTTGCTGGACAACATCGCCACAGCAGATCCGGCGGAACTGGAGCGGGCCTACAACACCGGACGTGTCTCTCTGGAGGATATCGTAGAAGCGGCCCATCTGTCGTCCGATTCCCCCCTTTTCGTTCCTCCTTTCTCGCTCCCGCCGGAAGACAGATTAATCCTCTTGCCCCACGACGAGTTTATGGCGTACCAAAGGTTGAACGAGATGTGGTGCGACGGTCTTGCCGGGAAGATAGCAGAGGCGGAGGCGCGAGAGCAGGCGAAGCGCGAGGACGCGGAGCGCTTGGCGGAACGGGAGGCTGCTCTGGCCGCTGCGGCGAGGAAGCAGGAGGAGGAGCGTGAGGCTGTTCGGGCTGCTGCGGCGAAGAAGCAGGAGGAGGAACGTGAGGCTGCTCTGGCTGCTGCGGCGAGGAAGCAGGAGGAGGAGCGTGCGGCTGTTCTGGCGGAGCGTGAGGCGTATCTCCAAGCGGCTAGGGCGAAGCAGGGGGCGCTCCGATCGCGGCTGAAGGAGCTGGAGCCCCGCCACCAGGACCCGCGAGCAGCCCCCCACCCCCGTCGCCGTGTTATCGTCCCCCCCCCCACGCAATCCCAGGTGCACCTTGGTTCCCATCGTACCGCCTCGCCGCACGAGAAGGAGCGCGAGGTGGCGGCGTCTCCGACGAACGAGCAGGAGCGGAAGAGGACAGCGACTCCGGAGTTTTCGGTGACTTTGGGTCTTCCGGCTGGTGCTGAAGACGGGGCATCGTTTGCGGCGGCAACCACGGTGTACGAGTTCCACGTGGGAGATACAGCGTTCCTGTCCCGCCCGCTGGAGATGCCTGCAGAAGGTGTCACCTTCCACGACGAAGATAAATTGGCAGCTCTTTTTGCATGGGCTGGCATCAAACAACTTGTCCGTGCACAATTCCCCCCACCGCACACCGTTGCTTTCGGGCACATCTACCACACACCGTACCTCGCGAAACTTCCGCCTTCTTCGCGGCAGTCCGTGTTCCAGCTGTTGTTCGCTCTCCGTCGTGCCACCTTTCCTGAAGGTCCTCAAGGAACGTCGGTGGTGACCCAGGAGGGAGGACTCCAGCTGCCTCTTGCTCGTGCTGCTTCGACCAACGACTTCAAGCACGATCTACAAGCCCCCCGGCAGGCCTCTTCACGCCCTGCACATGGTTCTGGAGAGGACAAGGACTTCAGTAGGTCGGCGGCTCCGGTGTCCAAGAGCTGGAAGAACCGTTGGGGCGACCGGGATTCGACGGCCAAGAGCGGGACGGACGACCACCACCGCTCCACCCAGTCTTCGCGAGGGCGCGGCGTCGGAGATAACAGGCGAGGGCGAACCGTGGGGAACCAGCCTACGAGGTCTTCGCCGGCGAGTCGCCATCGCCGGAGCAGGAGTCGGAGCGCAGAGCGACAACAGCGCACCAATCCTTCGTCTAGGCGTGGGCGCAGCCGGAGCGGAGACCGTCGTGGGAGAAACACGCCTCCGTCTAGGCGTAGCCGTAGCCGGAGCCAGAACCAGAGCGGGGGCAATAGCAGGGCGACCAGCACTGACAGCAGTCGCGGTGGGAAAGGGCGACGGAGGTCAGGCCACGGTAACAGGCAAGTGATGTATGATCGAGGTGATTTTCGTAGCTCTGGGTTGTTGGGGGAAAACAAGGATGCTTCAGAAGACGGTTCTCTCTGTTCTTCACCGCTTGTTCTACGCCCTCCCGCTGATGTAGGCCAACCGACCAGGTCTTCTTTGGCTTTCAAACTTGCCAACATGCAACTTCGTGAACGTTCAGCCGCTGTGAAAAGCCATGCCCCTGCCCATGCCGTTATGGATCATCCCACATCTTCCTTGCCTTTGGACGAACCTGTTGAGTCACCACGCCATGCTGCATCACACGCCTCGACTTCGGCTTCCCGTACTGAAATGCTGTTGGAACAAGTACTCACTCTCCTGCG